ATATAGCAATAGTCAAAAAGGTAAAAAGCATTCAAATAGAGAAAAGGTGATGTCCACAAAATCAGCAAATAACCCAAATCCAAGTTAGGAGACAAATCAGTCCCAAAATCCAAGAAGCAAATCCATAGGAAGAAAGTCTTTCTTTTCCAAAGGTGGCAAATGCAAAAGTCCCTTGAAGAAACAGGAGCCAACTTGAATCAAATAATCTAAATGCAGTAGCTTGAAATCACAAACACCAGCTTACAAAAATCTCAGCATGTGCATGAATACAAAGCAAGATTATACATGATTCCCCGCATGAACAAGCAAGCATGAAGCAGGCATGAAAACCAAATGTTGGACTTACTGAAGAGTATAGACTCACAGGCCCTATATTTATTCAGAAAGCCATGGCAAAAGCATTCCCTTTCCCTTGGGAAACCTCTCCCTGACCCCCTGATTCTCTTAATCTTTCAGACCGTCTTCTGCCCCCTTCCAGGTATGATGATGATTGATTTGACTTCTCCTATCAAAGACTGGACTACTGCAATGCACTCTACGTGGGGCTGCCCTTGAAAACGGCCCAGAAATTTTAGATGAGCGGCAGCCAGGTTGTTAACTTGTGCTCCTTACAGGGAGAGGTCATCCCTCCTGTTCAAGGAGCTCCACTGACTGCCATTCATCTACCAGACCCAATTCAAGGTGCAGGTTCTTACCTACAAAGCCCTGAACGGTTTGGGACCCGCCTACCTGTGTGACCGCATCTCTGTATACGAACCCACACGATCTCTTCGTTCATCTGGAGAGGCCCTGCTCTCGATCCCACCAGCATCGCAGGCACGATTGGTGGGGATGAGAGAGAGGGCCTTTTCGGTAGTGGCCCCTCAACTCTGGAACTCACTCCCTAAGGACATCAGGCAGGCCTCAACCCTGGGGTCTTCAGGAGGAGCTTGAAGATGTGGTTGTGCGAGTGTGCCTTCCCGGAATAATGATCCCATAGCACTTTGTCCCTCCAAAGCACTTTATACTTTTAGGTCTGCTCGTATGTCTTCCACAAACGCCACTATCGCCTTTTCGTCCATGCCTCAGCACTTTTCCAATTTTAATTTTTACATTTGGCCTTCCCACAATTTTTAATTGTATGTTGTCTTATTGATAATGTTATATGTTTATCGTTTATGTTTTATTTTAATTGCTTGTATTGTTGTATTATTGCCTGCATTGTTGTGTTTGGGCTTGGCCTCATGTAAGCCGCACCGAGTCCCTTGGGGAGATGGTATCAGGGTACTAATAAAGTGTTGTTGTTGTTGTTGTTATTATTATTAAGAGTGTCTGGTCGTCCCTCAGCTTGCCAATTAGTACATTCCTTTCACTATCACTATCTGGCCTTGGCCGTTCAACCTTTTCCTCGGCCCCTTTTTCTGTTAGCATCGAAGCATCTTTGCCTTGGGAACCAACGATCCCAGAATCCTCTGGTTCACTCTGGCTAGAACCAGATACTGTGTCAAAGAAGAGTTCAGATTCAGAGCCTCAAGAGAAACAATGTTTGTTCATCTTGTCAGGCAGCCCATCTAAAGATTACTTAGAAACCATTTCTATTAACAACAAAGACATGAAAGGACTTCGAGATACAGGCTCTGAAGTATGTATAGTGCATCCAGAAATAATACCTCAGGAATTTCAGCGGCCTACCTCTGAAATAAGATTAAAAGGTTTAGGACCTGCGATACCAACAGCAGTAGTGACTTTGCCAATAGAATATGGAGGATGGAAGGGTATGTGGGATTTTGCAGTCAGTCCTGACATACCATACAGATGTTTAATTGGAAATGATTTGGCTAAGAAGATTGAAAGCTGGAGGATGACGTGTGAAGAGGAAGAATATAACAACGAAAGCCATGATCAAAAAGCCATGTGTTTTGCCATACAACAGGATGGGGAGGAGAGTCCGGAATCCAGCGCTACGGTTGCTGAGCTTGTTAAGAAGACGGGAGGAATTGAAGAAATTCGGCAGGAACAAGGAGCCGATGAATCTCTTAAACCTCTATTCGCTTTGGCTCAAAACCCCACAATATTGGCAAAAGAACAGCCCTCCGAGTTTGTGTTAAAGAATGGTGTTTTATATAGAAAAACCAGGAATGTGGAGTCAACAGAAGAATCAGTGACAAGTAGTCAAATTGTAGTGCCTCAAAGTTTTAGAGAACAGCTGATGAGGGTGGCACACGAAAACCCTCAAGGTGGACATTTGGGTGTGAGGAAAACCACAAAGAGAATCACTAAGAACTTTTATTGGCCTGGCGTGTTCCAGAAGATCAAAGAGTTTTGCCAGTCTTGTGACATCTGCCAAAGATTGAGTACTGGAAGGGATAAAATTAAAGCTCCTATGATCCCTATGCCAATAATTGGAGAACCATTTTACAGAGTGGGCATTGACATAGTGGGTCCTCTTTGTAAACCAAGCAGACGTGGTTACCGATACATTTTAACCATGATTGACTACGCCACAAGATATCCAGAGGCTGTAGCTCTAACTAACATCGAGACAACAACGATTGCAAATGCACTGTTATCCATTTGGGGAAGAACTGGTTATCCTAGAGAATTGGTTTCAGATTTGGGAACCCAATTCACTTCCAGACTTATGTCGAAATTGCTTGAGTTATGTGGTATCAGACACCTGACTTCAACAGCTTATCATCCACAGACAAATGGACTAGTTGAAAATATGAACAAGACTTTAGTCAAAATGATAAAGTCTTACAGTCAAGAGAAGCCATACGACTGGGACGTCAAATTGCAACAACTGTTATTCGCCTACAGGACCGTCCCTCATGACAGTACTGGCTACAGTCCATTTGAATTGCTATATGGAAGGAAAGCTCATGGTCCATTAGACCTGATAAAGGAATATTGGGAGGAAAGTCCGGCAACAGATCCAGTTCCAGTGTCGGAGTATTTAAAGGATCTTCAATCAACAATGCAACTGGCTAGGGACATTGCACAAGAACATTTGCTTGCGGCTCAGCAGAGACAAAAAGACTATTATGATTCTACTGCTAAACCAAAGATCTTCAACATCGGAGATGAAGTTTTATTTTTATCTCCCAACAAAACCAACAAACTTCAATTGGATTGGTCGGGACCCTGGAAGATCATCAGAAAACACAACCAAATAAACTATGATATTTATGATGAACATTCCAATGTAGAAAGAAGAGTCCATATAAACATGTTAAAGCCTTATGTTGAAAGGTCTGCTAATGTATGTTTTGTTGTTTCGGAGGAAGAATCCGGTCCCTTTTCTTTTTGGGAGGGTGATCGTGAACAGTACAAAAATTTGGATCGGGTAGAAATGAACATAGAATTGTCCCAACCACAGAGAAGAGAGGTTGTGAAAGTTTTGAGTAAATATAAAGACATATTTTCAGATTTGCCAGGAAAGGTCCAGGGAGTCCAGCATCAAATAAACACCGGTGATGCAACTCCCATAGTATCTCCACCCTACAGGGTCACGGGGAGAATTAATGAGTGTATTGAAAAGGAGATTAAAGAAATGTTGGACCTAGGTATTATTGTTCCATCAGTTAGCTCTTGGGCTTCACCCATAGTGTTGGTACAGAAGCCAGACAAGACAATTAGATTTTGCGTGGATTATAGGCGGTTAAATAAAGTAACCCAGACAGATACTTACCCTATGCCACGTTTAGACGATCTGCTAGAAAGGATGGGGAAGGCCAACTTTATTAGTAGTATAGATCTGACTAAAGGATTCTGGCAAGTGCCCATGGCACCACAGGATCGACACAAAACCGCCTTCCGAACCCAAAGTCGGTTATTTGAATTTTCTGTCCTCCCTTTTGGGCTAAAAAATAGCCCAGCCACATTTCAGAGATTAGTAGACAGTGTTTTAAGTGGGCTGGGGTCTTTTTGCGTGGCCTATATCGATGATATAGGGATTTTCAGCGATTCCTGGGAAGCTCACCTTGAACATTTGGATCTGGTGTTAAGCAGGTTGAGAGAAGCAGGGTTAACTATTAAGGCTTCTAAGTGTAAGATAGGATACAATGTTACTAAGTATTTAGGACATTTAGTGGGAGGAGGTCATATTCGACCTGACCCTACTAAAGTGGCAGTTATTCACCAGTGGCCAGTGCCCAAAACGAAAAAACAGGTTAGGGCATTCCTTGGATTGGCTGGATACTATCGCAAATTTATCCCATCTTTTAGTAATTTGGCGGCCCCTCTTTCGGATCTTACCAAAAAGAAGAACCCGAACCAGGTAATTTGGACTCCAAATTGTCAAACTGCCATGGATCAATTGAAGAAATCAATTACATCGGAAAGTTTCAGGTTTCAAGCACTTTATTAGGGAAAGATACAAAGTCAAAGGAGAGGGGAAGTTACCTGGAGTTGCAGGCATTCCTGGTCTTGGAGCTAGCAGCTGGGGCGCATTCCATCTGCTGGCCTCAAAGCTTGGCCCAGGAACTGCGGAACTCCCTGCTGCAGTTCACACTAATGTAAAGGCGGGGCTACAAGATGCGCTCGCCGTCAGGAGGAAGAAAGAAGAACTCTTCTCTGTTTCCATTGACCACCTTCGTTACCATTGAATGGCCTTGCAGGTCCAAAGCCTGGCTGCTTCCTGCCTGGCTTCCCACAGTTATATTAACCCCATTTGCCTGCTTTCCCACAGGCCTCACCCCTCCGAGGATGCCTGCCATAGAGAGGTGTGGGCGGGAATGCTTCTGGAACATGGCCACGCAGCCCGGAAGACTCACAGCAACACAGAGATTCCGGCCATGAAAGCCTTCAGCTACAAAATGCAGAATATCAATAGTTGTTAGTGTGAAATCTCAGTGAATGCCAAACCCAGAGACTCCGTGGCCAGGACTGGGATTTCCTCTGGATGAGAAGAGGCCTCTCCCTTTCCAGGAGACCTTCTCTCGTGGCCTGGCCAGGCTCTGAGTGCTCAGGAGGCGAGGAAGGGGATGCGGGGAGAGACCCAGGGCACAGAGTTCCACCATTTGGAAGCCCCCGAAAGCCTCAGGAGATACCTGGCAAGGGAACCCCAAACCTTTCACAAATTTATTGAATTATATTTTGGGGTGTGCTGTATTCCTAGTGTCTCAAATGTATGGTGAAGGCCCCTGGTCCCCTTCCCTTCTATGTACATCCAACCCTGGGAACGGAGAGTCCTCTACCCTCAGTAAACCTCCCTCTAGCGATCTCCCAGCCTAGACATGGAATCCCTCTTGTGTGAGAGTGACAGATAGACAATCCCTTTATCAGTTGGGCTGTTTTGCACTCTTTACCTGGCCAGGTGTGTCCAGAGGTCTAGGATTCCCACAGATGCAAAGGCTAAGCAAAGGTGAATAAATGAGCCTTTTGAGTGGATACCCGGCCCTCTGGCTCTGTGGCATGATCACCTTTTGTGTTCTGTGCCTGGCACTGTTGCCTTCTTCGGAATGAGACATTAAGTCAATCAGGGAATCACCTGCACACCCAC